ATGTAAAAATGGAGGCGGAAGTTTGGGCAAGAACTACTTATTTTCGGTGGATAAACTAAATTGGAGAGTGTGTTGAAAGTCAGATTAAAACTCACTGGGTCAACTCAATGCTTGCTCTGACCATTATCCCATAAATTCAACAGTTCTATTTGAGCCATTTTCTCTGCCAGACTCTCGAAAATACGTTTTCCCAAACATGCCATTAGTTGGGTAATTAACAATGGATGAACTAAGCTCTATATTGATTATGCAAAGGTTTAACTGGTGACTTGCACACCTACGAATTTAAGCATATAAGGGGATAGAGTAATATGAAAATAAACTTATCAAATAGTTGTATATTTTCCTATTCATAGCAGGAATCAACTGATTTCGTGTGTTGGGATCGACCATTTATTTATCATAGCCAATTCTATCATAAACGAGAGGAAAATGTATATGAAGTATCTTATTGGTTTGATGATTATTTTATGTGTGGAGGTCCATTTATTAACAATAAATTAAGAGATGCTTCGAATATAGGAAGTTGGGTAAAAATTAATTATAATTGAGTCCAAGACTTAAATGACGCAGATTAGTTTTTTCGGGTATACACAATCACGGGAATGCTCTTCTTCAACTCACTGGACTTTGTCGACTCTGACTGAAGTTAGGCCCAATTGTTTTCTATCCTGCTTTGTAATGGTACAGCAGCAAATAGACACATGCACATATGCATACATGCACAATAGACGGCAAACTTGATTTGATTAATGCTGTGTATTTTTATTTTTATTTTTTCAGTTCCTCTCTGTGCTGTTTGTAGGCATGCTTAGCAAGCTTATGTTTCACAGAATTGCTAATGGGTTCGGCCCACAAACCGCTTCGTCACAATCGCTTTCGTTGACATCCATTTTGTGCGTGTGCACCTGCCTGGGTTGTGGACATGTGGACGACCCAGGATTCGGAACCCTCATGGGCACGGACTCTTGATGGTTCCTTTTCAGGAAACTGAGATATCATCGGTTTCCGTGCTCGTCTGGCCCGAGGAAAAATGTCGTGCCTCGGTACATTTGAGCCCAAAATTGCAACCTCAACGCGGCACTGCTCTCGCCTCCTTGCCTCGTTGCCGTGACGACTGACGTCTTCTGCTTCAAGCAACTGCTCCAGCCTCCGTTTGGCAAAAGGAGAGACAGTCTAGCTCTTCTCTGTCTGACGCCATCTTGCTTCCGAGGGAAGATGACACTTTATTTGTAACTACAGTAGCTCATCTTCATGTGCATGTGCTTTCGCGAAGCTGATGAACATGTACGCTAAACAGTTATCGAACGGTGGTGACAGAGTTTTCCGCTTTTGAGTTTCACGCATTCCGCCCAGCCGTACTACCGTCGGGACGCAACGCAAAACTACCAACATGACTTTTAAACGGTCGCAACAGTAAACATTCGCACATGACAACCGGCACTAACCAGCCCGGATTATACAACTTACAATTCACAAAACGGGGGCGGCAAGCAGGGATTAATTTTATTTCTGAGGCCCAAACAATTATGGTATAGGCGGACCCTTTTAATTAGCCCGGATACTAAGTGGGTTGGATATCCGTCCCGGTTGTCTGCGACTCTTCACCCAAGTTCTCTCTCATGCTCCTCTTCGGTATCATGCACATTTGGCCAACTCATGTATTCTTCTGGCCAGTCAACCCTGGCCGATTTCTGTATCCCTTTCTCCCTCTGTACGCATGACTACAAGCATGTCAACAATTAAGCATGTCTGTGTCTGAGTGTGTGCATACATGTTTTAATCAGCTTTGTCGTCTGTCCATCGACATGCATGTCTGCGCGGCTGTGTGTAGACATGTTTTGTACTTTTCGTCCATATACGATGCGGTTCTACGCAAAAGTGTGCCTGAATCCAGTTAATTGGGTCCGCTTTCGTTTTCTTCTGCTTGGCCCGACTCCGGCTTCGGTATTATTGGCCGTACAATTAACCTGCAACACATTAGTTGCTAACCGACTGTATCACGGCCGGATGGGCAGGGCTTAGTGAGATGGGCCGAGAGGGTGGCTCTGGCCGTGTTCACCGTCTCGAAGCGACGCGGTCAAAGTCAATCCGGGCTTGGGTGAGGGTTGAAGGGAGGTCGGGACGGGACGGGACGGGACGGGACGGGGTCACAAATAAGTACTGATTCTGCTGCGTGACCGGACCAGTGGCGTTTCAACGGGCCGGGAACTGAGGTTTCCGTGGCCCTATTTCCAGTTGCCAACGTTCTAGTGCTTGAGGCGACTTACTGGCGTGATTGCGTAATACCGTGGTTGGACTTACAACCACGCCCAAGCTGTTCGCCTCGAGGGGTTGGCGTCCGGTTGGTGCCGATTGCCGGTCGAGACAATCGGGCCGTATGATGCATGTGCTCGTGCGTCGGCAATCGTGCTGTGGCATGCACGAATGGCATTTTTGGCGCGCAGATACCGGTCGGCAGACTGGGCTTAACGACAAGTAAAAGTGGATCATCTTCCAAGCCAGATCATACACCGGATGTGGTCCGGTCCGAATGTGCATACAGTAGCTATGCCGCCGGTTGGCGTCAAGTCGAATGGCAGATGTCACTTGGGTGACCTCTGCTGCTTTGAGTCACTCTGACAACCACGATGGCAACTGGAAGCCGGATCAAGTTGGGCTAAAAAGTAGTTCGGCCATGCGGCGTGAGTAAAAGAGTGAATTTGAAGTTGGTGTAACTTGAAATTAGGGTTGGAAGGAATTCGTGAATTTGGGTTGCGGCGAAGAATGTGAAAATGTGTGAAAAAGTATCTTGGCAACCGAAATTTAGGAAAAATCCACATACATTTGCTAATCAAAGAGAAACAGGTTAGCATAGTTAAGGGGTATTGCTGAAACTCTGCCGACGTCTGACACTTGACATGCGAATGGTCAGCACAGATACATCAGAGTCATTTGAAGAAAAAAGTCAAGGGGTGCTACAACTCGAAACTTTTCTTCATATCGTCTTTGAACCAAACATTTCATTAAATAAAGATGCATACAAACGGTATTTCGAATGATATCACCCAAATCTTCCCATTGGCAATAAGTAGAATTGGCAGCAAAAATTGATATTTGACTGAAAAAGAGATTTTGTCCAGCTACAGCCAAATCCGACTTTCGTAGGCCAATCTCTGTACACAAATACACACACACAGATACATACATACACACGAACGCACACGCTCATGCATAATGACATTTCTAAGGTGCGTTTGAAGAGAATCTCTTGTTTCGAACG